GACAGAAATTTCCTTGTTGATGATAGGCGATTCAGCATCAAGCTGGATGAGACCTTCGAATTCGATACAGTAAGTCACAACGACAAGTGTCTGTTTTCGTAATTAAGCATGACTTATATATATGCTTCATTTGTCTGACTTATAATTTTTAATTTTCACTATTCTACTAGCGCATCCCCTATCATGCAAGAATTTTTGTCTTGGATAAGATAGGTTTCAATGATATGGAAACTATGGAGGTAAAGAGAGTTTACCTGAAAACTGAGCATGGTTATACTTTCAACGTCAAAGTATACAATGCATACACGTACACCTATTTTGAATGCAAAACTTGGCAAGCACTATGCAAGACTTATGCATTTGAGCCTGGTATGGTTATCACCTTTGATATTCGTCCGAAAGATGATATTGAAGGTAATAGAGACATATGGATCGATGTGCAGACGCCTCCAATTCTACCATTATGTGAGTTCTTCTCAACTATATTTTTGTCTTTGATATTGCTTATTCAAAAATAATTGACAACTAATTTATATTGACAGCTTATCTTCATTCAACCAAACATGTCCGGCGCTTGGTAGACAGGACCTACTACTGTCCCGGAGCTGAATTAAACTGCGAGGAGGTCATTATGTTTCATGGCTTAAGGATCTTCATACTGTCAAGACAAATCTTCTTCCTGCACTTAGAAATGTTAGTACTCAAAATGTGCGATCAATAGTGATGGTATTGAACTACGGTCACATCTATTTAGGAATGATGGTAAGATTTTTACTATTTGTCCTCAGTGCATCTTTTGCATACATAATTTTTTTGCTAAACTTTCATTGCTAAGTATATTAATTAAGTACTATACGATGTTCTTCAACAGGGACTCCCGATGATAGTTGTGCCTCAGGGGATCGAGACTAAAGGTCGCATGTCAATTGTTAGCTTACGGCCAAGATATCCTGCATTGCACATTAATGCATTCAGGATTTCTAGAAGCGATGAATGCTTAATAGTGAAAGATTGGAGGAAAATTGTTAATGATCGCAGAGAAGTACTAGGGGGCAGCAATGAGAAGCGCAACCCACGATTAGGAGACAGGTTCATCTGCATGCTCCAGTATGATGAATCAGGAGAGCTATACATGTTCTATGCTATTTTACCAGAGAGAGAGTAGCTAGCAGGAATGATTTAGCATGCTGCTCTTAGTACTTGTCTTTTCATGTCCATGTTCTTTGTTCTGAACTTAATCTCAAAGAGTGATTTGCTTTTGTGGTGTTATATATGAACACTTATAATATCATGACAATCATGTTGAACTCGATGGTATTTTTGTTTCTGGTACAAGTGAATGTTTCTTCTTTAAGCTATTGTTGGTGATGATTTGATAGCGGTAATGACTATGATGATTAAATAGTGATAATAACGACTACGATAATTTTTAGCTAGCTAGCTCTAGAGTATGTTGATGATATGATGCAAGAGTTTTTATATTAATAATATGATGATATGATGAGTAATTATTATATCATTTAATGAAAGAAACCACATATTAGTTTTAGCTGGATGGATCCTACCTAAGTGACCAACTATATATATGCCATATCCATATATATTATACTTGATCACCTAATTAGGTGATCAAGTATATAATATCGATATGGCATATATATATATATATATATATATATATACATATATATATATATATATATATACACATATACACACACACTTGATCACTTAGCTATAGCTAGCTATATATAGCTAGCTAGATCCTCCAGTCAAAACTAATCCGCGGTACTTTCACCTAATGATTTAACAACTCATTATAATGTAAAACAATCACTAAATTAAATTGAAAACACAAAACTAAAGCAAAAATAAAAAAACACCCAAACATTTAGTACCGGTTGGTGTTACCAATCGGTACTAAAGCCCTACGCGCACCCGGGCCTGGCTCGTGCCACGTGTTCGCACTTTAATGCCGGTTCGTGACGAACCGGTACTAGAGGGGGGACCTTTAGTCCCCACTCTTTAGTGCCGGTTGGAGAACCGGCACTAAAAGCCGTTACGAACCGGCACTAAAGGCCGGTTCTGCACTAGTGTTCCTGCAGCTCCTGAATTTAGCTACGAATTATGTTATAATTTTCCTATGACTTATGCCTGAATTCTGTGCTCGTGGGAATGTTGTTGTTGGAAAGTTTTGTTGTATTCTGTGATGTAAAAAATAAATAATGCTAAAACATAGGATGTCTTGTTGTTAATTTTTTTTGCGGCGTCTTCACCGCCGGCCGTATGCTGCATCGGCGACTGGCTGCGGCAGCAGAGGAGTGCATGTTGCCGCCGGCCATACGGTGCATAGGTTGCGGCAGCAGAGGACACAAGGCCATCGAGGGCGCATGACGCGGAGGCATGGGACGTGGCCGTGCTATGCTTTGCTCTGTTCGTGCTCGTGAAGTGTTGAGCTCTCTTTTTGGTTTCAGTTAGGTGCTTTTAGTTCAATTAGGATACTGTCAGATAGAGTGCTTTTAGTTTCAGTTAGTTCAATATATAAAAGGAGACTTTTCTGCAAATATTGCCGGGGTGTGGATGGGACTATGACCAATGTGGCGTCCAATGTGGCAATTGCGGACCCGATTTGTGTACAAGTGAACCCGCAAAGCATGTTTAGTGACTGGTTTGTCTCAATTTTTAAGTTTTTTATATGAAATTATACCCGCAGCGCAAGTTGGTGTACTGTAGATGTATTATAACGTCAGGACCGGCACCATTGCGCCAAGGCGCGATATCGATCTAGTCTATATGGATGTATGATGCGTCAATGCTGGCGAGAAACGGACCCATGACATGGCTCTTGATCGGCTCCTCTAGAAGTGCAGACTTTGTCCGTTGGATGTTAATGTAAGGGCATAGAATAAAATTGACTGGAACTTAACTAAATTTCACACACCTGCTATATAGGTGCTCCCAACTTTCATGGTACTACCTTCGTCCTAATTTATTGATCCACTTAATATGTTGTGCCAAATATTAATCATAAATTTAATTAACAAAATATTAATGCATGTCATAAAAAATAGTATCATCGGAACCTATGTTCAAATACGAATCCAGTAATACAATTTTTGATAAAATGCATTAATATTTTGTCAATTAAATCTATGGTTAAATTTTGGCACAAAATACGAAGAAGATCAATAAAGAACGGAGTAGTATCAGCTACTCGATCCCTTCCCATAATTGCTTCCGCTTCGTCTCTCACGTCAGCTCTGTCCTAGCCATCACCTTATCCTTCCTCCACCTCACGCACCCATGAATCTCACATCTCGAACATGGGCAACACCGAGGTCGATGCTCCCAACACTGGCGGAGCTAGACA